TCAGCTGCTGTGTTCAGTCCAGTAACGGTGGCTGAACCTCCTGCTTCTGACAGGCAAGTGACCCTGACGCAAACAAGGCAGGGAAAACAGCCCTAACTTATCCGTAGGCCAGTGCAATGAACTGGAGCTTTAAGTACATTGATTTCACAGAACATTTAAAGCAGTGGTTCTCAACCTGGGGGTCATGACCCTTGGATCGCACAGCAGATATCCTATATTATCAGTTACCGTCTTACAGTTCATAACAGTAGCAAAATTATAGCTATGGAGTAGCAATGCAATAACTTTATGGGTGGGGGTCACCACAACATGAGGAACTGTATTAAATGATCACAGCAATAGGAAGGTTGAGAGCCGCCCATTAAAGGGGACGTCAGAAACTTCCCAGAGGACATGAGCCATGCGCAGTAAGTGTCTAGTCTTGGCAGGTGTTTACATGGGGCTCCCCATCTACGTCCAGTGCTCTGCTTGGGTTCTGACCGCCCCACTCCCAAGATAAACAGAACTTTGTGGATGGAGGACAGGAACTTAGCACAAGGAGCCTGGACTCCACAGACAAGCCAAGCAGTTCCCAGCAGCTGTTAACTTCCCACTGTACAATCTCAGGAGTTTGATAAGTCATATGCACTGTTCTCTCAAAGAACCTCCAGGCCTGTGGGCTTCCAGGACCTTCTAAGCCCACGCCTTAGATTATACAGGAAACCAATCTGGACATTAGACATCAGAGGACTGAGACAGCTATGCTATAATAAAAACCAAATACCTTAAAAACTGTGGGAGTGGTGGTGTACACCTGAGTGTGTGGGTGTGTGTGTGCGCGTGAGAGAGAGAGAGAGAGAAGAGAGAGAGAGCGCGGGGGTATGCTAAGGCAGAAATTGGTTAAATTCAAGTGCAGTTTATACTATGTAGTGAGGCCTGGGTCGCAAACCAACAAAACACCCACCTTGAAAACTGAGTTTGTAAACTCAGAACCACCTGGAAAATAAGAAAGCAATGGCACATTCTGGCTTAAATTTCACTGCAGTAATATGGGCTGTTAGCATTCTATTAGGAAGTCTTTCTTCACTGGACAAGAGAAAAGACAGACTCACTGGACGCAAGCCGGGGATGAATCTACAGGTGGAGTATTTGCCTAGAAAGAGTGGCCCTGGCTCGGTCCTTGGCGCCATATTGTTAAAAAATTATTAAAACGTCAAACTGGCAAGCAGTAGAAAACTATAGAAAGTTCCTTTAAAGCAGAATCTTATTCTTTTATTCTTTTCTTTCCTCTTTTGGTTTTTAAAGACAGGGTTTCTCTGCAGCTTTGGAGCCTGTCCTGGAACTAGCTCTTGTAGACCAGGCTGGCCTCAAACTCATTGAGAACCGCCTGCCTCTGCCTCCTGAGTGCTGGGATTAAAGGCATGCACCCCCACTACCAAGCCAGAATCTTATTCTTTTTTTAAAAAATATTTATTTATTTATTATGTATACAACATTCTGCCTCAATGTATGCCCGCACGCCAGAGCAGGGCGCCAGATCTCAGTACAGATGGTTGTGAGCCACCATGTGGTTGCTGGGAATTGAACTCAGGACCTCTGGAAGAGCAGCCAGTACTCTTAACCTCTGAGCCATCTCTCCAGCCCCAGAATCTTATTCTTATTACTGTGCATGTGTGCAGGTAACCACAGAAGACAGAAGAAGGTGCTGAATACCCCAGGGCTGGAGGTTCCAGCACTCAGGAGAAGCCGGATGTGGGCTCTGTTCACCTGTAAAGCTAGCTCCTACTCCATCACTGCAGCCTGAGACGGCTCTTCTTCTTCACCTCGGAACACAAGTTCTTCATACCTTAAGACCAAAAAAATAGTACTTCTGAGTACTCTGGGATCCTTAGTCGCCAATAACACTGGAATAAAAACAGTCATTTTTGGTTCGTATTTTACCTTCTCCACTTCTGGAAAAATCAGGATTCTATTTTTTTTCTAACCATTATATTCCCCGAGAGGACTTATCCAAATACCAGACAAGTCTCTGCCACCAAACACTAAACACAAAAAAAATAAAATCTTACCCATGAGCACCCAGTCTTGACTTCTGACTTGCAGCTGCGACACACGCTGCTGTTAGGCTCCCGTTGATGAAGGGACATCAGGCCACAGCCTATAGCTTGTGCTTCAGAGCCCCAGCCCTAGGCTGGCCATTTGCCTGGCTAGGTTCCTCACATTCCAGGCAGGACCTACTTACCAATGATTTAATTACATGGTTTATGCTGGCCAGACATTTAAATGCATTGATCCGATAATCTTCTCCCTCTGTTTCCATTCCAAGAGAGTTAATCATAAACTCTCAAGTGGAAGGACACAATACCAAAGCAAAAATTTTATCTGTTTTCTCTATCAATAACGAAATAGCTCAGAATAATTTACTAATAACAGGGAAATATGTATTAATATTAGGAATTCAAGTCATGGATAATTCTGTATCACCACAAGATGGAGTAAGAGTTCAACACATACACACCCACACACCCACACACCACACTCCCATATTATAGTAAGTCACAGCGCTGACTTACTCTACTCCGCCATCTAGTGGTTATACGATCGGGCATTATTCTACTGGATCTGTCTCCCACGCAAGTATAAAACACAAGGCATTGGTTGAGAGAAAAGACTGAGCACATAGAGGAACGTGGTAACATCACAGCATAGCAGCAAGATGCTAAGAAAAGGCCAGGCTGGAATTTCAGCTGCCAAAACAAGCTCAGAAAAATCAAAATAGAATCTACACCAGACGTGATCCCAGTACTTTGAGGAGGAAGGTCAGGATTTCAAGGTCATCCTTAGCTACACCTCGCTGGGACGGCTGGCTCGGGCCTCCCGCACGTCGCAGGGAAGGAAAAAGATAGGATCTCAAGCGACTTGAACTGTGAATCTGATCACTTAGATTTATAGCCAGTTTATAGGATTTTCTTTTCATCGAGCGCCACTGCCTTTAAATTAAGGGGACATAATTTTAACTTTTGTCAAAAACTGTACTCCTTGGTAAGTAAGATGTCAGATAAATTAATCAAGGAAGATAATCATTCCCTGAAGAAAAAAGAGAAGGACATGATCAAGCAATCACGTAATAACAGAATCCACAGGCAATGCAACTTCTCATTCAGACTGCAAGGTGTCCGCTGACCTCCGCATGTTACCGTGCATGGTCCCCCCAAATCATAAAGTGTCTTAATCAACAATCCATCTTTTCCTTAGTTTAATGAGGGGAAAATGTGTTGGTGATGCTTACAAACACAGAAGGAGTAACACCAATTTTGGTTTTTGCTTTTTTAAAAAGGTGTTTTATTTTCTTTGAGTGTTTCTGAATTTCTCAAAGTACATGTATACACAAAATAATATCATAAAATACGCATTACAAGCTGACCACACTTTTACAGATAATACATCATTTCCTGAACAAAGTGACTGGCTAAGAACCGCCCCCTGCAGAACAGACCGGCACCCTCTTAAGTCTACGCGAGCCCAGCTTGGTTTGTGCCCTCCCTACAGCACAGGTGAGGAAAAAAACTCTGAGTGCTCACAGTTGCTTTCTAAGGTTGAAACTTGAAAACTGCCTTTGCAGTAAACACAAATCCGTGTTGTTATCTACGCACGACAACCTAATGAGAAGGCATTTATGAATCAACACTCCTGTCCTTTCTTCCTTTTTCATTTCTCTCCCAGCCTTCTCTTTCTTCCCTTGTTTTCTGTTAGGGGTGCAGTCCATGCCTCACAGTGCTAGCGAGCATCTGATCCCAGCTGCAGCACCACCTCTGTCTACCGTAGATTTCTTCCCCCCAGTGGTGAGGATTGAACTCACGGCCGTGGGAATGCTTGGGAAGAGCCACTAAGTCACGGCCCCAGAAGTATGTTAATATGTAACTTATGAGAACAAGATAAGATAGCCAGTCTGCTGAGAAAGAAAATAATAAGTGTAGTGCGTTGAACCCAGCTGTTTCTGCCAGTGCGAATCAGTCCTCACGAATCATACTGTGTTCAGCACAAACAAACCTGAGAACTTCACAGCTGGAACGTCCTTAATAAAACATGATGACAATTGATGCTAGTAGAACTTGAACACTACAGCTTTGTAAATATAGCATAAATGAAATTTAGAAGTCAATTCAAATATTTCAAAATAATTTATTTTTTAAATTCCACAAAATAAAACTATTATTTACATCGGTTGCAATAGCACTAAGAATTAGAAATAAATTTGTTTCAACTCTTGAAAACAGTTATGAGCATAAGACAAAATTAAAAAAAAAAACAAAAAGAAAAAACTAAGTGCTTCTCTTAGGTGAATGGTCATGTGACTGCTGACATGCCCACTGGCAGATATAAACAGCAGACACCTTCAAAACAAATTAATTTATTTACACAAGCATTCCAACAGAGCCCAGTTGTTTTCAGTTACATGTGCAAGATTTTGTAGAATCACAAAAGTCAAACTGTCTGAATCTACATACCCAACTTATGCCAGTTCAGAAAGCTCCACATCAACACAGCACTGCGAAATCAGCCACATCCCAAAGCCCACAGGCCTAGCGACAATTACAGTCAGCTGTGCGTTGTTTTGTTAAAAAAAGAAAGAAAACAAAAAAAAAATCCTTCAAACTGTGTATATACAGAAAAATATGCATCTTTCATATACATTTCTGAACTTAAAACCTATATACAAAATCCTTCCTTGCTTTTGATATGTTCAGATCTGGACTGACAGTGACGGTTTGACCCTAGAGTTCCATAGAAGAGACGAATACAGCGTACTGGATCTTCTTTTTCTTTTTTTTTTTTTTTTTTCTTTTTTTTTTTTTTTGGTTTTTCGAGACAGGGTTTCTCTGTAGCTTTGGTGCCGGTCCCGGAACTAGCTCTTGTAGACCAGGCTGGCCTCGAACTCACAGAGATCCGCCTGCCTCTGCCTCCCGAGTGCTGGGATTAAAGGCGTGCGCCACCACCGCCCGGCGCGTACTGGATCTTCTGTAAGGAGGAGCTGGACTGTCAGCTGGTCCTTGTGCGTGCCTGAAATGTACTAAAGGGATTTTGTAAACAATGGCCTTCCAGAAGACAGGAGGCCAAGGTGCAGGACTACAGGATCTCCTAAGGTCAATCAGACCTTGTTTGTGGAATTCATCTTGCCAGAAAAACAGACAACCATTTTTCTTCCTTTTTGTTTTCTGATTATCACAATTAAACATCAGGAGATGCTAATGCTGATTTCAAGGACACGCGGCTTTTGTGTGAGGTCTACTCCCCCCACGGAGGCCGAGGCCGCGCTGTCACGGTGAGTTGTCCCTGGAAGCCAGAGGTTTCTCTGGCAGGTCACCGGCAGAGGCAGGCAGAGCAGCAGGTGGTGGCGGTGTGGCGGAGAGCGCCGGAAGTCTGTGCCGAGTACTCTCTTCCCCAGGAGTAGATGAATGTCTTTTTCTTCCAAATTCCTCACTAATGGGGGGCTGCAAAGCAGGAAAGACAACAGAGTAGACACTTTCACTACCCCCCCGCAGAGTCTAAGGCCAGGCTTTCCAGCCAGGACTCCCATGCTGCTTTGCAGCACACAATGAATTCTCACAGCAACTCCAGGGTTAAATTGACGTTTCCTTGGCAGGCTGGGATTAGCTGTTCAGTCTACGTAAACTTGAGCCGTTTCTCTCACGTTTGAGGGAATAAGCACAGAGAGGGGTTCGTCCCTGCAAGAAAACGCTCGGCTGCGTTGCGGTTCTATCCCCTTCCTTACCCAGAGCTCCTGTTCCGGACGCTCCGGTGTCTAATGGTTAACAGCTGAATGGGACCAGAAAGCGGAGAAAGGTGCCAAGCCAAACAGCCTCAAGCCGGTTTGACATTTCACCCAGGATCCCCGTGCTAGAGGACTAAACAGTATTATTGTGGATACGAAATCCAAACACCTTCAACCCCTTTAGACTGCAAGCAGTACTCCGTGCTGCGGGGTCTTTCTTCAGCTATAGATCCAACTGTATGAATACCATTAGGCTAATAGTGTTGAATCTGAAAAACAAGTTAAAAGGGTCATCTTCTCCTGCCTTCTGTTGTCCATGTGGCTTACACTGAGGCAGGAATGACGTCTTTTCTACTTTTCAGCCCCACCCCCACACCATTCCCTCCTTTGCAGTTATTTTCTTGGTTTAACCTTTTTTTCCCATTTGAAATCAAACCAATTAAAACACCTACCAATTAACATTCTTGCATTAATTTGCCAGGGATCTATCCTACAAGCACACTAGGATCAACCCTTACACTAATTTTATTATGAAGAAACTATAAATGCATATCAGCACACGTTATAAAAATTATATGGACAAGAGCACATTACAAAGTAGAAAGTTTCTGCCAGGGAGTGATGACCCACACCTTCAGTCCTAGCACTCAGGAGGCAGAGGCAGGTGGTTCTCTGAGTTCCAGGACTGCCTGGTTGACAGAGCAAGTCCCAGGACAGCCAGGGCTACACGGGGGAAACCCCGTCTGGAACACTCCCCAACCCTACCACAGGTAGAAAGCTGGGGCTGGAGAGATGACTCAGCAGTTAAGAGCACTGGCTGTTCTGACAGAGGATCAGAGTTGAGATTCCCAGCGGCCACATCAGGCAACTCAGCCTCTTGTAGCTCCAGCTCCAGGGGATCCAAAGCTCTCTCCTGGTTCTGCGGATTGTCTCCATACGCGTAGAAAAACCAGGGGCATCACCTTGGTTAGGGGCCATCTAAGTATGGTTGCACATCCAAATTCAAATGCACGACAACTGTACCATTGCTTAAGACGTTTGCATTTGGTAAATTGCGTGTGTGCTTGCTCACTCCGTGTCCTCAGCTTTCACACAGATACTGGGGAATCTGATACGGGCTTAGCAAGTACTTTACCAACTGAGTCATCTCCCCAGCCATTTCCCAACTCTCGGAAATCTAAATGAAGAAAATATGTTTTTTTTTTTAAATCTATTTTTGTACCTGCTTTCAAAGTTTGATGTCAAAAGTGAAAAGTTAAAATTTTAAAATTAAAAACCAAAAGATTTAAGATCAAGATTATAAAAATGTGTTAAGTTATAAAGCTGATAAAAACAATCGGGGAAAGAAATTAAAACTTACATCAACACGGAAGTCTTCTAACTTCTTAAAACTACAGAGGTACTCCTGAAGTTTTGGGTCGACAGACTGTGTCTTAGATTGAGAATACTTCAAATAGGCCCAAAATTTTTCCAGTCCATATAGCTGGCCTTAAAAACCAAAGAATATATGTCACATGGAACTAACAACTATGATCCCACCAGCAGTGCACCGCTTACGGTCCATTAAGACATACACTAAGTCAGCAAAGGTGGCAGCTAAGAGTCACTCTTCATTTGTTATATAACAGGCACAATTTCAGTTTATCTGACCCCCACATAACCGGACTGGTGAGGTGGTTCCTTATCTCTGCATTACAGATGGGAACCCATGAGCTGGCAAGGTGGAAGAGCCAGCCTAAGTCACGTGGCTACCAAGCAAGGGGAAGGGACTCAGAGCCTACACTCTGCACAGTAGAATTTTGCCTTGACAAGCACACCTAGCTATGCTCCCGAGAAGGAGCACCAGTGAGCAGCCATGCTTATCAAGAAGTTAGTGTTGACATAGACCTCCAGAAGGTAGAGAACCTCACAGGCTGGGTGGTGGTGATACACACCTTGAGTCCCAGCACTCGGGAGGCAGAGGCAGGAGGATCTCTGTGAGTCTGAGGCCAGCCTGGTCTACAGAGCAAGTTCCAGGACAGCCAGAGCTGCTATATAGAGAAACCCTGTCTAGAGAGAAAAAAAAAAAATCTCGCAGAAGGAGCTGTCTCACTATATGGTGTCGTACCTTTATCAAGAACTGTAACAGTGGGCAGGGTCTTAAGTGATTTGTCCTGAAGATAAAAATCTTCAAGTTCTTTTCTAAAACTACGTGTGTGTGTGTGTGTGTGTGTGTGTGTGTGTGTGTGTGTGTGTGAATGCCTGTGTGCACACATGTAGGTTTGGGCCAAGACGCTTGTTAGGGCAGATTCTCTCCCTTCACTACAGGGCTACAGGTTTGGTGGCAGTGCCTTTACCCAGGGTCATCTTGTCAGCCTTCCTTTCCATTTACTGACAGTTCAGGTCTACAGTTTCCAAAGACAGTGTTTGCTTTTACCAGATTCGTAGTCTTTTTTGGTTTCCTCTTGAAAATCTTTAAAAATTTCTTGTCTGAATTTTTTTTCCAGTCCATAACTATAAAACCTGAAAAGACACTCTAACCCATACCTGTGGGAAAGGAAGAAAAAGGCATAAAACTGTGGCTTTGCTAAAATAATGCAAGCACCTCATAGTGGCATTTCCTACCTGGCACGACCCTTAGCTGAGGCCGTTCAGTAGTATTTCTTATTTTTGTTCTCTGAGCCAGTGTCTCACTCTGTACTCAAGACTACCCTAGAACTCACCACATAGCTGTAGCTGGCCCTGAACCTGCCAGCCTCCTGCCTCAGCACAAATTGATAAAGTGCAGGAGTGCTATTTCCTAAGAGCTGGTCAAAAGACTCTGTGACTCTGGAAATGTTCTAGATTTTTCTCTTGAATATAATTCTTTGTCTGGAATGGTTCACAGTTTTCATCTCTTCAACTATAATGGGCTAAGCTTAATTATAGAGCTCTGGATGTTATAAAGTATATTCACAGCAGATCTATAACATCACTTAACAAATCAGAAGGACACTTTATCCTGTTTCTTCTTTCATAACTACCTAGGGAATCTGGGACAAGTACTGAGTCTTCTGCCTTGGTAGCTCCCTTCTCTTAGATCAGCGCTCTGTGAGTAGCTACTGTAATTGTCTGCTCTGTCCCTTTAAGAGACAAGCCATGCCCACTCCCTTCCCATCCACTGAAGCATGCTGATCTTCAGCTTCCAGCCTGAGTTCCTTCCTTTTCATTCGAAGAGGTAGCTTCTGTCTCTCCCTTCTCCCCACTTCTCCCCTTCCCCCTTCTGTTTCTCTCCCTCCCCCCCTCTCTCTTTCTCTCTCTGCTCTTCTCCCCTTCTCCCCTTTCCCTTCTATAACCCACTAAATAAATATCCAACCTCACTCTGCATGGTGTGCCTATCCATGTCTCTGTCTCTCATCGACCCACATGGCTCCCTGCCCAGGACCAGCCGCCTTTGGAGACCTGCGATGTGGTCTCGTGGTGTGCCCATCTGTCTGTTTTTCCTCGTGGGACTGGCTGTTCCATCAAGGTCTCTCAGCCACCATGCAGCTCTCTGCCTGGGACTCACTGCCCCTTGTGGCTCACTATGGCTACTTAGGGAACTGCGGCCATTCCTGCCAGGGACTGGCTGCTCTTGGGACCTGCAGCCCGCTGCCTGCTGCCACTTTGGGGACCTGTGGTGTGGTCTCGGGACCCGCTGCTCACTGCCCGCTGCCTATCATCACTTTGGAGGAGCTGTGGCGTGTCTCATGGACCCGCTGCCTGCTGCAGCCACTCGGGGATCCGCAGTATTTTACTTAATCCATTACAGCTATGCTAAAGAATACTCTGTGAGGCAGCTGTGGCTAGGAAATGATGCCCTGGCCAACAGCCAAGGGAAGGAGCCCAGGAAAACACTGCAGAGATGCCAACCCTGGAAACAGCCTGCATGGAACTCTTTGAGGGACCTGGGTTGGAGCTACCTGGCCAGTTGGGTTTATAAACTTGCCCTTAGGCGTTACTAAGGGTTTGCTCTAATATGAGTTTAGTGTTATTTTCTGCACAGCAACATACAACAAATATAACCCATATTCCATTTATGCTGTGGTTATTTTCAGTCAGACTACTTGAAATGATGTTTTTTAAAAGAATATTAGAAACGGCATTAGGAAACATTTAACCTGTAATTCTCTTTTGCGTCTTCCCAAGCAAGTTGTCTAAATTCCTCGTACATTTTCCTGTTGAAGTGGTCTCTGAGGAAGAAGGACCAGAAACGAAAGAGGGTGTTCATTTCCTGTGACTGTCCAATGCCTAGGCGTTTTCTCTCTGGAAAGAGAGAATACCTCAAAATGAAAAAACAAAACATGAAATAACTCCGAAACAGCATCTGAGATTCTGCTAAATCGAGGACCAACAGTAAATCTATGACACACTACTCAAGTTATGAATACTTGTCAACAATACAGCAAGAATGTACTAAATTCATTTACTAATGTGTTTAAGCTATAAAAAAAAACAAGAAAATATAAACTAAAGGTACTTATTTAGGACAAAATAAAAGGCTATCTTAGTAAGATATAAAGTGACAGTTTAAGTTTTAGAATCTCCTGCACATCAGTGCAGCTAGACAAAGGCAGGCACCGTGTCATTTAGACTGAGTTCCCTACCATGTCAACACAGCTAGACGAAGCATCTTACCACTTAAACACCTTCGGCGATACTTGTGGTACATTTGCTGGGTGAAACCGTTTTCCTTCAGCAGTTCATGAGAAGGATGCTGGAACTTTGGGAACGAGTGAGGCGTGCAGCTGCAGCCTCCTGGGAGTGGTGCACCTTCCGAAGGTGAAGCATTGGAGCTGCTGTTTGAGGACAGGAAAAACTATCAGTGGCTTACCCAAAACAAGGGGACTGGATTCTCGTCACCAGAACTCACGTGGATGCTAGGTGGGCGCGGCAGCCGCCTGCACTTCCAGATTCAGAAGGCGGAGCCAGGAGATCCCTGGAGCAATTGCCTAGAAATATTAGCCAAGTCAGTGACTCTTTTCTGGGCTTGACTAAAAACACCCGCTTCAATGAGTAAGGTAGAGAGGACATCAGCTTCCATCCTCCAAGTGCCTGCGTACACATACCCACACGCACAAAGGAGGAACAGAAAACTCCCCAAACATAAAGCAATGTGTGCTTCTATTTCTCCATTATTGACTGCCTGAGCAGTGTCTAGCCATGCTTAACTCTGTACACATCTGGAGGCCCAAAAATGAGCCTAGTTCCACCTTGTCTGAAGGTCAGAGAGGTCAGAGAGTTTGAGGCTGCTCAAAATTGTTGACAACTCCTAGGATTATGCATCCTGACCGAGGTGTGGTTACTTGGTCCTTTTGACAGTAAGATGGTCCATACAGGTAGATCCACTTCACCCTGACTAATATTCAAGAATACTTCTGCTCCTTCTTCTAAAATAGGAGGTTTGACCTTGGCAGTGGTGGCCTTCCGGAGACTTAGTCCACAGTGGGTTCACTACCTAAACAACAGAATGCTTTGTCAAGAATTAATGACTTGATGGCTCAAGTATTGAAGCAAGTCACTGTTGTCCTTTGTACTATGTTAATGTCGTCTTTTGTATTGGGGTATAAAAGTGTCTGGAAAATAAACACGGGTGAATCCAGCATTTAGTATATGCTGAGGGGCCCTCCTGGCTACTGTCTTACATCTTAGTGATTCTTTCTTATCTCTGTTCCTCCTACTTTACATTTTTCTAATCCTCGCGCCCCTACCCTGCTAAGTGGCATACTGTGGAAGCATGGTCTCGGACACAGAAGGTCCAAAACAGCATCACTCAGAACAATGCCACAAATTCACTAAAACTCTAAAATGAAGAAAAAGAAAAGGAAAAAAAGGAAATTTAACAGCTCATTTACTCTTCCAGGTTGTTAATTTATTTGAGAATAGTTTTGTTGTTGTCAACATTACAGTACTAGAGAAAACCTCAACTAGATTAAGATGAATGATGGAGATGAGAGATAAACTCAGACAGGGTAAGGCTAACAATCTCACTGTCACACCTGCATGTGCCTACATTAGTCTCCCTCCGAAGGACCGGCCGCTGTGGGCTTTCTTCTATATGACCCTGTAATTCAAGTGTAGGTCATCCTCTGCCTCCACCTGGATTCACTATTCTTCATTTACCTTGCCACCAAGATCCTCCTAAGACAGCAAGCAACCTATGTGAGCAATTTTCAAAGTGCAGACAGCCCCTGAGGGTACAGGAGAACCTTCCCAAAGCCGGCAAACCCAAACTGTTTCCATACAACACTAAGACACGGCCAGCTCTTTCGAGTGTGCTGGAGTCCACCCTAACAGGTCAAAAGAAATGGTGTGGGCATAAGCCGGGGCTGCAGCCAAAGTTTATTCATGACTATAGTCTTCCCTACTGTGTGCCTGCAGTGATTTCATGACTATAGTCTTCCCTACTGTGTGCCTTGGTGATTTCATGACTATAGTCTTCCCTACTATGTGCCTGCAGTGATTTCATGACTACAGTCTTCCCTACTATGTGCCTGCAGTGATTTCATGACTACAGTCTTCCCTACTATGTGCCTGCAGTGATTTCATGACTACAGTCTTCCCTACTATGTGCCTGCAGTGATTTCATGACTACAATCTTTCCTATTATGTGCCTGCAGTGAGAAACAATAGCTTCACTTTTGGATGAATTACCTTTATGACATCACAGCCTGAGGGCTCGTCTTTTCTGAGTGACAAAAGCCTGGCAGCGTCAGCTTTGTGTGGTGGAAATGCTCTGAAAACCTCATCAGCCGCACACTTAAAGGCAGGGTGGAGCTGGAAGGATGGCTAGGTAGTCAAGTGCACAATCTACCACCCCCACACCTCAGGTCTGTGAAGCCAGGCAAATCCTGGGTGCTCGCTGACCAGAATGTGGCCAAAACGGAGAGCTCCAGGTTCGGTGGAAGCCATCTCAAGACGACAATGTTCATCTCTGTCCTCTACACCTAAATGCTTGGAGACACATACCTATACACATGCATAGCTGAGACAGGAATTTTCGAGTTTTTTTCTGTATTTGTTAACCACAATTTAAAGGTATGCGACAGAAACACAATGCTACGTGGTCTGTTAAGGAACAGACGTCCCGTGCTAAAGCGCTCATTGAGTACTGGTTTTTTTAAAAATACTTATTTATTCATGTGTGTGCACGTCCACGTGCTTGCCTCAGTGCACAGGCGAGGCCAGAGGACAACTCACAGAAGTCTCTTCACTATGTGGGGCTTGGGATAGACTCAGATCCCCAGGGCTAGCGGCAAGTGCCTTCATCTGCTGAGCTATCTCACCTGCCACAACACTGTCTGGATTAGAGCCACCAGTGATTACATTCTCCAGGCTTCCTTATTTGTGAGATGTTGCCTTGACTTGGTCTTTAACATCAAGAAAAATTACTGAGTATTTTCAATGATAAAACTTGAGTTTTTCAGCCGGGCGGTGGTGGCGCACGCCCTTAATCCCAGCACTTGGGAGGCAGAGGCAGGTGGATCCCTGTGAGTTTGAGGCCAGCCTGGTCTACAGGAGCTAGTTCCAGGACAGGCTCCAAAGCTACAGAGAACACTGTCTTGAAAAACAACAACAAAAAAAGAAAGAAAGAAAGAAAGAAAGGAAGAAAGAAAAGAAAAGAAAAAGAAAAAAAGAATGTAAAAACCATAGAGAAAATCAAGAAAAAAAAACGCCCGGTTTTTGTTTTTATATTTTTATATTTTATATTGTTGCCATTCTTTACTCTCTTATTTCTTTTTATCTTTGGGATTAGCTTGGTGTTTTTTTAGTGATAAAACATATATTTTCATCAACACTTTGAGAAGTCCATACAATGTATTTTGATTATATACACCCTCCACTTCAGCAAGGGGGGGCAGGGTAGAGCAAATAGAACGGCGAAAGGAGCCGGGACTGGGACTCAGTTGACAGCGCTTGCCTAGCGAGTGCACAGGGCCCTGGGTTCAGTCCCTAGCACACACCTGCAATCCCAGAACACAGGAAGTAGAGGCATGAAGTCAGAAGCTCAGGGCTAGTTACTCTCAGCTATGTGTTGAATTTGAGGCCAGCCTGATTACATAAGACCTTGTCTTTAAAAAAAAAATTCAGCAAAGAAAATTGAGTTTACATAGTTTGAAACATTGCAAGATGGATACCAAAAAGCAAAAACAAACAGAAGTCAGCAGTAACTATCTTGTGTTCAGTCAAAATTACCTAATGGTAATGCAATAGCGAGAGCCAGAGCCAAGCTCAGGGTCACAGTTGGCACCACCACGAAATGGACTTTAAAATGATTGTCTGTCATTAAAGACTGAGGATCTGGCCGGGTGGTGGTGGAACATGCCTTTAATTCCAGCACTCGGGAGGCAGAGGCAGGCGGATCTCTGTGAGTTCGAGACCAGCCTGGTCTACAGAGCTAGTGCCAGGACAGGCTCCAAAGCTACAGAGAAACCCTGTCTTGAAAAACTAAAAAAAAAAAAAAAAAAAAAAGAAGAGAAAAAAACTCATTCACCTGGCGGCACATACCTATAATCCCAAAACTCAAAGGCAGAGGCAGGCAAATCTATGTGAATCCCAGGGCATCTGGCTTACAAAATGAATTTCAGCACAGCCAGATCTACACGGAGAAACTTTGTTATGATTTCAGCCACAGTAAGGCTGACGCTTCTGGGTTCTAGGGCCATGCATGGGCGGACAAGCCCTCAGGCAGAAGGGCCTAATGGCCCCAGGGATGTTAAAGCCCCCTCCACGTGACCCACATGTAGTGTGGCAGCTTTTAAAAGCTGGACTTCCCAGGCCTGCACACACCCCTCTAAGCTCCTAAGTGGGTTTGTTGTTCCATGTTTCCATCTCACCCCCACCAGACACAGAAACCACATTCTACTGAAACTGCCCTTTTCCTACTGATCTCTAACCACAGTAAAGCAAAGCAACCCACACAAAGCCAAAACAAACAAAACACCCAACCCACTCATGGATTACAGTCCTTCAAAAGCAGTGTGCTGAACAACACGCACACACTCCATCTGGTAAGGACAAAGTATTTAAGGAGAGCCGTGTTAAAAGCACTCTACATAGGTATTCAGAAACGTAGGCTTCAAGACCGAATTGAAGATGAAATCCCTAGCACTTGTTTGAGAAAGTTAATCACTCCTGGGGCCTGTCAAATGTCTGAGCAGAATTTAAAGTGAAGAAAATGATCAGACAGTAATTCTGAAACTCTACTATAAACATGAACCAGGCTTTAATTTCTTATATTCATTGTGTGTCCAGGTACACCTACACAGACGATACTAGAAGACAGGTAAAGAGGACCTGGCTGCGTTCTGGGGGCTAACCTTGGGTTGTCAGACTTCGCAGCAGGCACGTTTACCTGGGGGCCATCTCAGGGGCCCATGGGTAGGGTTGAAATAAACAGCACAGTTAAACGGTAATGCGGTTACATGGTAATAAGGTAATGGCTTATAGCTTCACCTGTCATTGTGGTAAATAACGGTCTTTGTTGTTGTTGTTGCTTTTTTGAGACAGGTTTTCTCTGTTTAATAGCTGTGGCTGCCCTAGAACTTGCTTCATAGACCAGGCTGGCCTCAAACTCTCAGAGATCCGCCTGCCTCTGCCTCCCAAGGGCTGGGATTAAAGGCGTGCGCCACCACGGCCTGGCAAATAATGGTCTTTTTAAAGTTAAAACTAAAAGGAAGAAAATATATCCTGCTAATAGATTATCTGTTTCTTTTCTAGAGGAAAACAAAATTCAAAATATCTGTTTCTATATTTTTAAATACAGTTTGAGTAGACCGTTTAACACAAAAATTCTCTTAGCACCTTCCATGAATCTACTGACTATTATGAAGAATCTAGGCTCCTTCTAAGGAAACTTGCCAACACTCACACCACTTGGGGGGAAGAACTGAAATGAAAAACAGGCTGTGCCCGGGTCTTCTCTCTGCACGCCCGCCCCCAGAACCATCTTGAAGTCTCTCCTCCAAGTGCTCCCTGAAGAGCGTTGCTCCTCCCACCCTCCAGGGTTGCTCGGCTGTAGAATTCTCTACATGTTAATTTTCAAATCCTTCCAAACAGCAACTTGGGACCCTTCTCCAGGAACTTGAAATGAGAGCACAAGACGGTGTGTGACAATCAGGTACCTGACAGAGGGTGGTCTTGGCCCATGGTTCCGGGAATCCATCACCCACCCAACGTGACACTCTAGAGGGGGGCTGTTGCTGCGGCTCGTCTTCCTCTTTCATGGACTCTCAAGGGAAGGAAGTCAAACATGGCAATCTCTTTTGGTAGTATGAACTTCACAAGGAAATGAAAAGCCTCTGCTGTCGACCAGCTCACACATTCACACTGCAGGTGGCACATTGTGAAATCACATGAAGTCACAAACCCCAAACATCTTGCACACAAGTTACAGAGCTTAACAAGAAGGACCCTGACTCGGGAAGGGTACACGGCTAAAGGAAATCAACACAGAGTAATTCACTATGCTCTGACTTTTATCACGTGAGCCTGCATGAGGAGGTCCTGCTCAGTCTGAGAAAAGGTCACTATGGTAAGGAGCATTTTGAAGGGACTTGCTGCAGTTTGGAGAGGCCTCCCCTCGCACTGCTGGAGGCACGCAAAGCAGGCCTCATATTTCTGGTCGTTTGTACCTTTCCATCGATGGCTCTTGGTTCTTTGACAACAGGATAAAATCTCGGTGTTCTGCTGGGACCTTGCAGCTGAGGCCTTCGATGTGCTTTGGAAGTCCATGCAGGATGAGTCCTGGGAGATGCAGGAACTGCAGAGGGCATTGCATCAGTCTCTGCGGCCGAAGCCATTTCTGCAAGATCAAACAGCTTCTAAGCTCATTTGTCAGTCAAATCTGCAAAGTAGCTCTTGAAATTATTTAGATGCTAAAAAGAAGATTTTACTTTGGCAGCAAAGACAAATCTGCAATTGTCTAGGCACAAGAGATTTTTCACCAAAACATTTCAAATCTCTTAAAAAGAATAATAAAAAAAAAATACTTGGTAACTGTTACCTGGTTTTACAACGCAGTGAGCAGGCGAGATGGTTGGCTTTCTACCAAGGCTGATGACCTGAGTTCTGCTGCACAGTGCATACGGTCCAGGAGAGGACAGAGGAACGCAAGCTGTCCTCTCCGTATGCATGCTGTGGGGGTGTGCACCCACACACATGCACAAACACATAAATAACACAACTTAAAGGAAGGCTCAATCCCTATCGTCATGTAGACTTCAATTTCCTTCTTGCTTACCCCCCACCCCCGAGATAACTAAACTCTAAAACACACACACACACACACACACACACACACACACACACACACATATATATATACACATATAATTATTTTCCCAATTGACTTTTTTTAATATTTATTTATTATGTATACAAAGTTCTGTCTGTGTGTATGCCTGCAGGCCAGAAGAGGGCACCAGACCTCATTACAGATGGTTGTAAGTCACCATGTGGTTGCCGGGAATTGAACTCAGGACCTTTGGAAGAGCAGGCAATGCTCTTAACCTCTGAGCCATCTCTCCAGCGCCCCCCCCCATTGACTTTGTATATAGGACATTAAACTTTGTTTCATCTTCTAAGGTGAACATGTCTGTTTCTCCAGGGTTTATATGAACTGAAAGCAGGTCTTGGGACTGTCCCCAGGCTGACCACCTCACCACTGTCTACAGTGGCTCACCAGCAAGCAGCACAGCAGACTTTTGCCAGTCTCACCCCCAAGTCAAAGCCAGTTTTTCTTCAGACAAGCACTTTCCCATCACAGGATCGGAATGTTATTTGCATTTCCTGGTAGGAATAGTGACCTTGAGGGTTTTAGCCCAGATCTAATGTCAGATTCCCCTTCCGTGAGCTTATCACTAACTATCCGTTGGCTATTTTTCTATTGCATTATTTGCCTTGGTGATTTATGGTAAGACAAGTGAGCAAGAAGATGGATTGAGTACCAGTGGCCAACATGCAGACTCTCTCTATCTCTGTGATAGAGATCCATGCCCATTTCTTCTTTTAGCCCACAAATACTATCAAGCACTTACTATCTGCATATACTCTGCAAGTTTGTCGAGTCAAAACTGAATTTACCTTCATGCCACTATTCCTAAGATTTCTCTCATGTTGTTCTGAAGAGCCATGAGCCCTGCCTCCACTCAGAACCCATCTTTCCTGATTTGCTCCATCTATTCCCATTCTCTGCTTCAATTAGGGTTTCCCAAACAGCTGTCCTGCTTGCTTGATGCATAGTTTTCCCTTCTCTCTGAAAGTCCTGTTCTTCATCTTGAGTACAGCCAGTTGACTCTGTTTCTTTCAGTGCCCAGCACAGATCTGGGTGTGTGAGACACTGCTTGGGCACCCCTTGCCAGTAGAGTAGATACTCTGTGTCCCCCTGCACTTTATCCAGATGTTGCCCTGTTACAGCTTGGATCTGGAATATCTCCCAGAAGTCCAGGCGTAAATGGCGTGGTACTCAGATGGACACTGGTGAAAACTACCACAGACGTAGAGCTTCCTGGAGAGTTGCGTCCCACAGAGGTGTGCCTCTGTCCCTCCCCTTTCTGGGCCTCCCATGCCCCACGAGGTGGAAAGGCCCTTTGCTCCCAAACTCCCACCACAGGTCCAAAGGCAACAGGGCCAAGTGACCATGGATTGAATTATTGAAACTCTATGCCAAAATTAAATGCTCCTTCTTCTAAGTTTCTCAAATATTTTGTCATAGCGTTAGAAAGCTGAGCCACAGCTTCAGGTTAGCCCACTGACGTATACCCCTAGCTGTCATCTCAGGAGACCCCTGGAAACAGACTCACTGAGCACCAGCGAGAAGGAACGGTAAACGTAATTCAGCTGTGTTTATGCTGTTTTACTTCTGCCAGAATATCGCACAATCATGAAAATGAGAATGAGCTTATACTAGAACAATGTCAAATCAAGCACCGAGGTGAAAGAAATGCCAGATCTTTAGGATCAACAACATCCTGCAACAAACAAGCTCCCTGGGGCCGTATATGACCTCTGAGAGAGTCCCAACCACCAGCTGGGTCTGCCCGAGGAAGTAAGGACTCAAGTGAAGCGCAACACAAGCCTTGGGAATCCTGAGCCTCGAACCCAATACCACTAAATTATTAGAAACACACATACGAAGGGAATGAGAACGGCCAAAGGACAGGGACAAACTAGGAATCCCACCAATCATCAGCATGTAGCAGCTAAGCCATGGCTGCGGCAGGCTCTAAGGAAGCAGGACACCAGTTCGGCAAGTCCACCACGAAATGGTGAGGCTCAGGTATACTCGAAGGTGGCTGGGATTCCAACTCTATATTCTGAAAACTGACAAACTGAACCAGAGCAAGGGTTTGTCACTTATTTTCCTACAAAAATTTAGTTTACTTATCATTCTGCAACGTGTGAAGAAGTATTTCCAGGACAATGTGACTAGGAGAGTATGAGGTACCAGAAACAGACGGTGAAGGCTAGTCAGGATGAAGAAAGAACACCAAACCACCAACACTGATGGGCATCAGGTCAGACTGGCACCTCACAGGCTATCTTCACCATTTCATCTGTATCTGAATATTTCAAAAATCTGAATATTCAAAGATAAAGTCTTTTTTCATTTATCAACTTGATTCTCGACTAATATCAATTTGATATGCCAATAAGAATAGATATAGCAATTTAATGAAGACTAAGATCTATGTTTTTATTTTAAATTTGTGCAGCCCATTATTTATAATGATATAAAATTATCACTAGTTCATTTTAAATAAAATATTTATGGCAGGCACTAAAATACCATTAAAAATTTGCATGTATAAGGATTGGAGGGATGGCTCAGTAGTTAAGAGCACTGACTACTTCTAGAGGACCCAGGTTCAATTCCTAGTGTCCACGTGGCAGTTTGCAATTACCTGTAGCTCCAGTCCCAGAAGATCTGTCACCCTGTTCTGGCCTCCATGGGCAGCAAGTACATATATGGTACATAGACATACATGCAGATCAAACACACATACAGATAAAGAAATCATTTAAAATATGCATAAAGGGGCTGGAGAGATGGCTCAGAGGTTAAGAGCACTGACTGCTCTTCCAAAGGTCCTGAGTTCAATTCCCAGCAACCACATGGTGGCTCACAACCATCTGTAATGAGATCTGGTGCCCTCTTCTGGCCTGCAGGCATACATGCAAACAGAATACTGACAATACTGTATACATAATAAATAAATAAATATTAAAAAATAAAATAAAATATTCATAAATAAAAGAGAACAAGCACATGCTAATGCTCACCGAGTGCAAGCCTGGCAGAACAGAGCAGCAGGAAGCGGGTTCTCAACACAGCGGCACTGTCGTGCACAGAGGCGTTGCTGATGTGCAACACAGCATTTACTGAAATTCAGATGCCTTCAAGTAGATACATTTTTTTAAAATATTTTTATGGTTTATTTAACTTTATTTTATGTGCATTGGTGAGAAAGTGTCAGATCCCCTGGAACTGGATCTTCTGACAATTATGAGCTGCCATGTGGGTGCTGGGAATTGAACCCGGGTCCTCTGGAAGAGCAGCCAGCGCTCTTAACCACTGAGCCATCTCTCCAGCCCCTCAAGTAGATACATTTTTTTAAAAGATTTATTTATTTTAGGTCTATGATGAATACTCTATCTGCATGTAAAACTTTATGTCAGAAGAGGGCATCAGATCCCACTCTAGATGGTTGGGAGCCACCATGTGGTTGCTGGGAATAGAACTCAGGACCTCTGGAAGAGCAGCCAGTGCTCTTAACCACTGAGCCATCTCTCCAGCCCAAAGCAATTGAATTTTAGTAATAGGTAAATTATACTTCAAAAGAGCTATAAAAACAAATCAGGCCACCTGCTCTTCAGAACACCACATTACAAGCCATCTACCATCCATCCGGATTTTGCTAAAAGCTCAGGAAGGAATATCTCGTAAGCTAAATAGTGGCTAGCAAAAACGTGGTCCTAAACAACACCCTGAGATGGGAATTTGTCAGCCATGTGCATCTGGATTTGGCCTATAACTCACTGGACCAGGAATTTGATGTGGAGCCCCATTTTAACTAGTTTCCCAGTGAATAACAGAATGCTTGCTAAATCTAAGGGCCACTGAGCCTACTCTCCTACAAGGTGAGAAATTCCAAAATTCACCCCCACCAAATCGAAGTACAGCTCAGTGCATTCCCTTCCCACACTGTTTGCTGTTGCCCACAGGAGCTGTCCTGTACAACAGCAACACCATATTCACGGGAGACAGAGACTTCAAAGGTTTTCTCTTTGTCAGTTTGTTTTTAAATCAATAAAGGTGTCACGAAAGCCAAGTTCAGCAAGTGCCAGAGTGTAAATCCTTTTGGCTTTCGGTCAGGAGACCTCTGTGAAGACAGCTCAGCTTTGCCTCTGTGTCATGAGACTAGTCCTTAGTCCTAATAATGGAAGGTTATGACCAACTACCATAGGTCAGAATATACTGACCACGAGCTGAACTAGAACAGCCAGTCACACTGGGCTTGTTTTCTTCTTACATCCCAACAAAAGTCCCATATCTTCCACCACCACCACCACCACTCGCCACCCCCATCCTCTCTTCCCTCATCCAATCCTCCACTGTTTCTCTTCAGATTCAGGTGGGCATCCCTTGGATATCAACCAGCCATTGTATATCAAGTTGCAATAAGAATAGGCACCTTGCCGGGTGATGGTGGCACATGCCTTTAATCCCAGCACTCGGGAGGCAGAGGCAGGCGGATCTCTGTGAGTTCGAGACCAGCCTGGTCTACAGAGCTAGTTCCAG